TAAAGCGATGTGCCACCTGACCCCTATTCCCCGTTAAGATTCTAAGGGTCACATCTACCGCTCTTAGGGGGTTGAAACAAGAAAGCTAAAAATATTAATTTAGTGTCCCCCTTACGAATAAAATTAACAGTATTTCCGATTTTTCATATGTTTATCTGCAAGAAAGATATTAAAGGTGGGAAGTTTTCTAATGGGCATCCGGTATAATTATTACTATCCATAATTATCCATCCTTATTTAATATAATTAAATACTAATACGTTAATTTCTAATAACTACTTAAATACATTTGAGATCCGCATTTAATTGAGATCAATATTGGACCTGTTGTTTTTGGAAGGATAAGCATATAGGTAGTCAAGTTTTAAAGCATTATTAACTTCGCTAGGAAGCTTTGCATAATTTAGCATTACTTATTACCTACTTATGTAGACATTAGATCATGTCTGAATATTAAATGTTAATGTAAACTTGTGAAATTGAATGTGAATTAGACCCCAGAAATTGGGAAACTTTATTGTCAATATGTAGGTAGGTACTATTAGAACTGTTGGATTGTTTGCAAACTAATAAAACATCTACGACACAATTCTGCATAATACATGCAATATCTGTTTGGGTAAAAAGGCTCAGGCGGTGCTGAAATGAAATGAAATAACAATATCGAAGTAACATCTGAAATGACAGAAGTGGGGCATATTTTAGCAAAATATTAAAGTTAAATCACATTGAAACGCAATTGCTGAAAATAAAGACAAATGTTCGCGATAAATTGCGGTTGTTTCTGATTGTATTTTAGACACTTCCTAGTAAACATTGTGCGAACAGTGTATCTTTCGCGTTCAGCCCTCGGCCATGTCCTAGTTAAATAAGGGCGACAAAGAAAATAAACAGAAGAAGTAAATATAAATACCTGGGCGGCGAAGAAACATCTTAATCCCAACAAACGTCTGGCTTTTTCGTAGGCCCGGCATCACTTTTAATTGAAAATTACTGAATAGTAGCCATGTTTAAGCATTTGTAGAGAAAAACAATATTATGCGTGCCACATAAACACATGTTTCTTGAACATCGTCGATTTCAATTGCATATTGATTAACCACTTGATCTAAACAAAACCACCGTATGTTCCCGTAGGTTCATGGAAAATTCAATAACACACGAATTGCACCAATTTCTCTTTAGCACAGCTATCAAGGAAAACTTTCCAGTCCAGAGAAAACAAAGTTCGATGTGCTCCAAACTTCACTTCACCGTTCACGACAACAGACAGCGCACAGTTTAGTGACTGTGTATCGGATATTCGGATTATTACCGCGTATGACTTCTCAGGTACGTCGTTCACTATTTGACTTTGACTCTTTACTGAAGCCTGTCCACCAACAGATGGCAGCTGAAAATGACGACACTAATCTTTAGCTATGGACAATAAACCATAAAATATATTAATAGATTGAGAATTTTTCAAAAACCAAATCTCAGGGCGATTTTTTTTACAGGTACATTAATTTAACCTTGTTAAACAATTTATTAATATACTCTTTTTTAAGGCATCTTTTAAGAGCGATAGATTTCCTATTGAAAAGTTCAAGTACCTAATTCTCTAAATTTATTTCTTTACTAATTGGATTTTTTCTAATACGGCTTGAACCTGAGTCTGTCGCAAGACCCATGGGGGCAGCTCTTGGTTACCTTTTGCTAAAGAATGCTCTTTTTATTGTGAAATAAGAGCATTCTTCATCAATCTATAATATAAAAAAGAAAATTCTATTTTTAAGATAAACATTTATTATTGATTTAAGATAATTAATTAGGTGTAAATGCAAAAATAAACACATATCCTCAGTTTGATCCTTCTAGGTAAACGGCAATGTGAACAATGAAGAGAAAACCAAAAATATTGATTTGAGTGAAATCAACTTTAAATTATATTTAAAATTTGCTTTTTCCGTGTGTGGGTTTCACTTCCGGACACTGTATACTGGAAAGAGTTTCCACGTAGTTTCAGAGTGCCTGGAAAACGCATCTTTTTCGGAAGAAGCCATAGAATGCCATAGTGAAACGACCGTAATTCTGGTTTCTAATCTCACTATTTAATTAACTTAGGCAAGTGCAAGGAAGCTGGCCTCTCGAAAAGTCCGTATGTAAATTATGAAAAATCACAAACAACTATGAACGGGGCGCACTATATGACAACTGCTATAAGAATCTTATAATTTAAAAAGACATCAAATATTTCATGAAGAAGTTTTATTATTGATAATACGCTCTCTACATCAGTAGTTATCTAATACTGTGATAGCCAAGAAATATAGTTAACTGACAAAAAACGAGTATAATTTAGTGGCTTGCTATATTTTTGGGCCAAGCGCGCGAGAATCAAATTCGTCTTGTCCTAAAATGCACAAGAAATAACATTTAAGTAATAACATGTATCCATAAATTTTTTAGTATTCGTAAAATATATGTAAAAGGTAACACCAGTATTTAGACTAATAATTAACCTGCCGCCGTTCTAAATCCAAGAGGGAGCAAGCCAAATAAATTTAAAGTGCGTCTTCGTGTAAAAGTACATTTACGATTTGCCGATCAACAACAAAATGGTGATTTATTAATTGATAATATCATCTATCTATAGTCTCTGATTTTAGCTGCATGTTACTGTTCAATTATGAATGTATATATTATTTCTATATAGCATGATTATTTTACGAAATAATGGATTGCTTTGTGAGGTTCTGGCAATTATTACTGCTCACGTGTGTATTTCGCGCATTTGCGGTTTGCTCCATCTTGGATTTGGGACCACTGTACATCTATATACAACAGTAAAGATACACTAAATTAAAAAGTGTGAACGCTATATGCAGAAGACTCTAGATAGAAAGTGTGTTCTTAACCTGTAGTCAAATAGAAAACGTTTTTAACTGTTAATTTGCAAAAGGACTTCTTTACAAAAAATATCTCTTATGGCAAAATCGAAAATTGTTATATAATCGAGAAGTTGATCAGAACTGAAAACTACTTTCAATGATGATTTCCATCTATAATTCCCTCAACATTGAATTTTAAGATTTTCGATAATTATCTCTAGCGTTCGTTAACGTGTATAAATTCCAAATTTGGTTATTCCGAAAGTGGAAGGTTTTCACGTTTTTAATCAACAAAAGATATAACAGTTTTAGTATTGAAGTGAGCAAAATAAAAAATCATCTAGCATAGAGAAATGTAGGGATACATCTTGAAAAACGTGTAAATCATGTGAACATGTTCTGAAATGGATTTAATTGCTTCTTTAGTTAATTTTCAATTCTGATCAACTTTCTGCAACCAACAAAAGCATTTGGATCAAGTTATTGAACAAAACGACCTTTTTGAAATAAAGAATAAAGCTATATGCATATGAATTAGTGTATTATTGAGATCAAACAACAAACGTTTCGTCTTAAAATTAATGCGGTATTAAATGTTTACCATCAATTGTCTCACCACAGCAAGACTCACATTCGCTAGAATCGTCGGAACTCGAAGAATCATCGGTGCTACCGTCAGATGATGAATAATCATCGCTATCCGAGGCATCGTGATCAGAATCATCATTTATTGTTAAGGCTGCAAATTCACAATGTGGGATGAAGCCATCTTCTATTTCCATCAAATTTAATCCTAGATCTACTTTGGCAACTTTTAAAGTAGTGACTTCTTGCACTGTCTTATTCCACAAGTCTGAGTCCCATTTCATCACATAGATGATATAGTCTTTAATAAAGATTTGATTGATAATATAACGGTCTCCATGTAGGAAGATGTTGTAAATCTTGATTAGTACTCGCACAATTTCTTTAATATTTGAACTAATTAAAGTTTTGAGATCGTTAAAGACAGTTTGAGATAATTCAAAGTGCCGGTAAAGCGGGTATATTAAAGATCGTCTAAATGCAGAAATTATGGCAGCTTTGGGTTTAGCAAAACCCTCAAACCAGCACAACGTGGCAGCTAACTTATTAATATCCCAACTAGACTCACTATTGCCCTCAAATTCTGTGATTCGCTGGTCATAGCAATATGCAAACAATAAGTCAATCAGACCATTTTGGCAGTAGGCTATTTGTTCCATGCTTAAATTGTATTGTTTATTTGGAAGATCTTTAAGAAAATCCAGTTCCATTTCAGTAAAACTAAAACTTGAGTCTTGCTTTTCGCCAAGGGAGAACTTTTGTGAAATTACTTCGCAAATTTGGTCATTGTCAATAAAATCGGCCATATAGTGATCCATATTAAATTTCCCTTGCTCATACTGTATTCTTAGCTTACGTCGCTCTTTTAAAGATACTTCACAGGGATTTACTTCAAAAATATCATCAAATGCAGAGCTAACTTTCATAAAGTCGTTAGAATTTCTTAATGCAAATCCGTACCCAAACTCCGGATTGCTCACTATACTTTCTCCTGGTTCAGTATCATGCTCTGATATCACTTCAATGGGAATTGTTCCTTTTTCACAATGAGCGTCAACTTTCACGGTAAGAAGTTTGGTAATAAGTTCCAGATCCTTAAAATATTCCCCAGGTTGTTCTTTATGATATGTAAAGAGAAACTCGCCGGAATCTGTATCGAAAGAGCTTTTTGATCTTTCATCTTCAACAATTTTTCCAGGCAACGTTAATCTCAAATAGTATGGCTTAGATGAAAAAAGAAATACCTCTTCATCTACATCGATTTCCAGCTGACTCAAGCTGCAATATGGGGCTCGAATACTAATCGTTACAGAATTTTCATCTTGAGACAGGTGAAAACGTGGGGTTATCATTTTCACTGCCCTAAAGACTATTTACCACAAATTAAAGACTAATTAATCACTACTACCCCGCCAATGAGACTAAGTTTGGTTAGGTCCACAGGGTCCACAGATAGACGAGGTGAAGGTTGCCTCGCATTGATACGGTGTATATGTTTATTTGCGGCTACGGAGCGACCTTACACAATTTATACTTAGTAGGCAATCAATTATACAATAACGTATGGGTCGGCGAATGCATCTGAGCTTAACTGAGCCCTTCAGTCACCTATTCATTACCATTACATTAATGTTATAAAAATGAATAATTTTTAAGAATAGTCGTGAACTAACGCAATGAAAATTATGATCTGCTGTTAGATTAAAACTACTTATTCTCAGTCATTCCAATTTGTTTTTTGCCCGAAGCTAAAAATATATGTGTTTAAAAGTGTAATAGTTCGTGTACTTAATGTTACAGTTCCCGGAACCTATAGGGACCCAAACCGGAACGGAACCGGTTTTTTTTCTGGAGCGGAACCGAAACTGGAACCATATATTTTCTATTAGCACACTGTCAAGGGCTGAACCGTAAAATATTTTATTTCGGTTTCTTCGTTTCTTTCGGTACAGCTTGTAATGTTTGAAAAAGAACTTGGGGTTTTTGAGGATTTCTAGAAAATCTCCCTTCGATAACAAAAATGACAGCGAATTTTAGATTCAAAGATGATTAGGGTAATGCAAAATATAGAATTAGGTAAGCAAATGCAATTATTTAGATTGTTTAACCCTTTCAACCTGTTGCATTTTTGTTTATTTCATGTTTATGTGACTATTTAACTGTGTTTCTAACGCTCTTCGTGAATAATAGGTTTTTAGTTATTAGTATTTGTTGGTTATAACAGTTCATTTGCAAATTCTTGCAATTCTTTCAGTTCTGACTCTGACCCTGACGAACACGATATGGAAACGAAATCATCTAGTTCTTCATTAAGCGATGATTTATAGTCCTTAGCAAAACTTATATTATTTGAAATTCCTATAAAGTGGAATAAAAAGCAAGAAAAAGCTTAATCCGTAAAATAATAGTAAAAACCAATAAACGTGCGGCAACTCGATTTCTGAGGCCGCCTTGGAGGTCAACTATTAACAAAAAAATATTAGAGGAAAAATATTATTTGTGAGGACCAATCGACTTTTCAATCGTAAGAAACAAACACCGTACGTTTATACACTACTTTTAAAATCCTAGTTTTTCGAACACTTGAAATGGGAATTCCCAACAAAACCAACTCTTCGAAAGATTGTGATAAGTATAAAGGCAAAAACCAGCGAGAAAAATCTTTAAACCGAAAAAATATTGAAAAAATCAGAATTAACGAAATAGTGGAAATCAGTGGAAACGAAATAAAAAATACTTTTCAAAAATACCATGATTAAATTAATTTTTGTATGGGAGTCCTTATTTCAATGTTGTTCCATTTAGGATTACCTTAATTTCAATCCTTGGATACTTACTTATTATAATTGTGTCTACCGTTCAACCAGTCGAAGTACGGTCTGAAGCAGTGGATCTTTTTCTTCTTGATCTGTTATCTTGTAGAATACAACAAGCAAAGAAAAATATAATGATATTCCTAGATAGAGTTTTTTGTTCCCGTTCGTTGTATTATACAGATTTCGGAACCGAAATTAAAAATCTACTTTTTATTGAAACTCAGTAATTATCCCAAAGGTAATGGCAAAAAATAGTATTAAAGCAAATGTTCAAACGCATTCCCATTTTCCCTGAGGCATAATCTTTGAACGTTGTTATGAAGAACTCCTTGCAGCATTTGTGGGGATATTTCGTAGAAGATGCGTCATTCTCTGCTTCATATCCTCGGGATCAGTTGGAACAACTTGAAAGACTTTTTCTTTGACGTATCCTCAAAGGAAAAAAATCCACCGGGTGAGGTCAGGTGATCTGGCCGGCTAATTACTATGCGCGCTCCTTTTTATCCATATATGAGTATATTGATCGATGTAAAAGTTTAGGCACATTAAGGGCAAAGTGAAGGTATAATAATGTCAAAAGACTCCTACCCCTAAACTCTCGAGAAAATTGCAAACATTTTGTTGCGTACCAATGTTTAACCGCCGGTTAGGTGCAAAACTACTGAATTTAGTCACATATCCAATAAAATCGAACACGTACAAGCATCAAAACATCGATTTTTACTAAGATCAATAACCACAATAAGATCTCAAAAGTCACTGCACAATCGATCAAACCAACTATTGTACAAACTGACAAACATTTCCGCCGAAAGCAGTAAATTTTTCTTATTCCAAAAATTATTTGTCCGCTACGCCGGGAAAAATTCCTTTCAAAGTTATAAATGATCGGACAAAAACGAAAAACTCTTCACAAACATGACAAGGATAGCTAGAGCACAGCTCCAAATGCAAATAAAATTAAATAAAAAAACGAACAACAACTGCCATAAGTGGACCATAACACTAAATCTCTATTAATATTGCAAATAATCCCACTCTTTTTTCCCTATAACTCGCTAAACTAGTTAAAAGGTGATGTGATGATGATGAAGATGGTGTTTTTCGCAAAAAATAAAGGTTGTTTACACACATATATATGAAGATATTTATTGCTATATCGATATTTACCACATTTGCAACCAGGGTTGAAAAGTTAATAAAATATTTTCCACTTCTCTAAAATATTTCGGCAAATCAACGCAAAACTGTTATACTTTTACACCATCTGCTGACTACACTCGCGACAATTTTCGACACAGTTAAAATAACATAAATGAACAGTACTCCCTTAGAAAAAAATCAATAATGCATCCATAATGCAATAACCTGCATTATAGATTTTAAGATTCAAAAAAATGCGTTTTATTTTTCACTTCAGCAACAAAACACTGCAATACGGACGAACAGAATACGAATGAAATTGACTGCTTTTAAATCATTCAAGCAATGTTTATTAAATAACTACATCACTTAAAATATTAACTGTCCTAAAAGAAAAGTAAACTCAGTTGACTCAATTTTTTCTTAATAAAATATCTATTTCAAACATTTGCTCTACATGTAGGCATGACAAACATTTCAATTTATAATTTTGTACAGTACAATTTGCAACTTATTTATTTCGCCTTAAAATTATATAATGTTGAGGTCAATGGGATGTCGTTGATTGAGCAGATTATTGACACATATTTTTCTAAATATACCAATCAATTAACATGACATAATTCGATTAAAGTGTTACGTTGCTTTGACGTAACTTTATATTGTGCCAATGTGTTTCGTGTAGTTATTGGTTCGGTTATCATACCGCATTATTCAGAATTAAGTACGTAATTTTTGCTGCAGTACATTTCTTTCTCATCGCATTAGCTTGCAAAGCCGCAAATTAAACGGTGTATTTTTGCTTCTACAAAATAAACGAGACATTAGGTAACTAACGATTAGAAATAATAATTATGAAACTATTAGAAGTGTTTGAATAAAGAAATATTGATTAGTAGCGAAAATGTGTCTTTGAGTAATTAGATATGGCAATTAAATAAAATTCATTCTATTTTACAGGTGTTTATTTACAAACCATCGCTATTCAAAGAATTTCTTCTTTTGTCCTCTTCTTGGAAGCAACATAACAATTTTTCCTTTCGAATAAGTAAACTCTTATTTCTTTCTTATACAGGGGATACTGTGTCAGTCTTTGGTGCTTTTTGCTAGAACTGATTTATGGCATGAAGAAGTTTATTATGTTCCCCAGTAGAGGTATACTACGTAGCCATCCTAAAGGATAAAACTAAAATTATCCTAGGACGGTATTTTTTGCTAAAATTTGCTAAAATCAAATACAAAAAATACGAAACGAAGAAATAAATTTAAAAATTGACATTTTATGAAGATCTGTTGGTTGTTGGTTGCCCATTTATATAATACTTGTGTTGAAGGATGGAAACGTGAAACGTCTAGAAAAATAACTATTAATTTTTGTGGAAATTTATTTAAACAAAAAGTATAAAAACAATAAATTTACTCTATAACTGTTATCGTTCATATTCAAAAGGTTTATAAAAATCACGCTCAAAAGGAGCGGTAAGTTTTCCTTTACCTCCTGCACCGCCTTGTCCTTTTCCTCCTGCACCACCGTTGTCTTTTGGTACCTGTGGTGGGGGTGGCGGAGGAGGCAGTTGGGCAGCTTTTGCCAAGCCTGCCGCAGCTTTTGCTGCAGCGGCTGCAGCATTAGCCGCTGCTGTTTGTGCTGCTGCTTGGGCCTTTTGAGCAGCTGCTTGTGTTGCTTGAAAGTCAATTCTGACACTCTTCAGTTGCTGTCCTAGTTGATCCAATCGCTGAATTGCCGAACCCACCATCGCTTGCTGCGCAGCCAACTCACCAGCTGCTTCAGAAGCTGCTTGAGTAACATGGTCAGCTGCAGCTTGAGCTGCGTTTAGTGTCTGTTGCAATACGTTTACATGAGCTCTAGCTTCTTGTGCAGCACGATTTGTGGAATCAGCAGCTCTTTGGGCTTGCATCAGCTGCTCTTGCTCACCCCTTAAACCCTGTTGGGCGTCCCTGAATTGCTGCTCGAGTCCTTGGAGGATAATTTGTTTCCCTGCTAAAGCAGCCTGCGCTGTAGCTGATGCCTAAACACAAAGGACGGAATTGTAGATTTTTAATGCATTTGGAGCAGTAAAATGCCGAGAATAATATGCAAATTAAAAGACTCGTGTTTAATTGCAGGCTTTGTCACAGACCAAAAAACACTTTATTAATGATGATTAATTAATATCATGACAGAAAGTGCTTAAATTATGACGAACGCTTTGATGAACGCCTTATCTGAAAAACTGGAAATATTTTTCTTAAGCTAATATCTTGAGTTTGGTGAATAATTGATTGGTATGTTGTCAAAATGCCCAGACTTACATTGACCAAGGTAGTGAAAGTGCGAGCATGCAATTTGCTTTATATTTATGCAATTATTTGCCTTGCTCACAAAAACGTTTCAAACCATTTGTTCCAGCTGTTTTGTCACGAATTGAGGTGAACTTTGATTGTTATGGGTTTCGTTACATAGCATTTGGCGATTTTTTCAATTGAATGATCCTAATAAAATCCGTTTAAACTGCTCGCCAATTTTCATACTTTAATGCAGTTGTGGTTTTGTGAATGGCATATGTTGATGCTAACGGTATTGGAAATGGTAAAAAGAAAAATGAGAAATTAATTTTCATAGTGAGGTAGAATTTTTAACGCTTCCGATCCAGATACACAGAGCAGTAATAGTAATAGAGAATAGTAATTACGAGGCAATTTACTTTTTAGCACATGTTACAGCATCAGTTACAGAGTAACAGAATCTAATCAGTGGTTTATTTATGCGCTAACAATTGCAAATTGTTTACAATTCGAACATATTGGGAACATTCATATGCTAACTAGTTTGCTTTCTAACGTTTTTAGGAAACGTTAGTTTATATTTTAGAATTTCGACGTATGTTTCTCGACGAAAATTGAACACGGGGTAAGTCTAAACTCGTGGTCAATAGGAGGTTTGTTTTGCAAAGACACAAATTAGCAAACACAAGAGGATTAATTAATCAATTTTATCAGGAAAAAAATTGAGCGCCCAAAACACTGTTTTTTGATTTTGAGATTTTTCTTATGAAAGTAAGCAGTCAAAAAACCGCGGTTTTATTTTCTATCAATGTTTTTCAATCTCTTTTGTCTTGTATCTTGTAATTTGATGAGTAAATTATTGCTTTACAGTTTTATATATTTTTTGCAAACAATTTAAAAACATGTTCTTCTATTTAAAAAAATAGACATAACAATGGCATAAATAGGTAATAGACATAAAAATGCAAATATTCTAATATAAAAACGTAACATGTACCATTTGCTTAAAGTTTGCAACTTCACAAATATATTTCGATATAAACTTTTTTAGATAATAAATTTTACCGATAAACTTCTCTTTATTATTAATTATTTCCCGCATTTTATCGTTTTATCGAAATTACTGAATTTTAAAATTTATGGAAATTATTACTTTGCCCTATTAGATATTAGTAGATCAATACAGATTGACTACTTATATTTATCCGATACTTAATTTACTCAGCTTGAACCAAAAACACGGTTAAATATCCACCTGCAATAACCAGATATGTAATACAAGTTTCAACATTACTTTGAAAGTTTCTTTTGGGTCTTTTGAAATTCGAAATTGTGTTCTACAGATTTGGAGCTAACCGACCTTGGCGGAAAAATAGCCTATGTAATATCTTTCTCAATGTATTTAGTTGATTTTAATACGGTCATTCCGTTCACTGTTTAACTGCTGTTTGAAATCAATTTTCAAACCGAAAGTTACTTTTGAAAGTAAAGAAAATATGAAACGTAAGGAAGAGCGCGAAGATCCAACTTGCACAAAAATGTAACGTTGATTAATTATCTTAATTTATTATTAAACTTTATTTCTATTAAATTTTCGTTCGCTTTGAACCGAAATTTATAATTTTTCTACAACTGGTATAAGCAGTATTCAAATTTGAATGTGATAATATTTGAAGTGTCTTTATTACCGAGCAAACGCGAAAAGTGGTCTGAATTTTTTTTTTACAGCTTCATAAATATATATTTCTCACTTTTCATTATTTAATTTTTAATTTTTAGTTAAAGTCAAATTTGTGCCTCAAGTTGAATACACTTTTACTTCTCATTTTCTTCAGTAATGGTTCAATTCAAAGTTTAGTCCCATGAACTATTTTAACCGACCTTTTTATTGCGAATTTGTCGTTGGATAATTGGAATCATTTGAAATTAGTGTCGGAATTTTGAAACTATTGCTCTGCTGAAATTACGATTTCATGCTTCTTAATTTTTAATTGATTAAATTCGAATGAAACTTATCAATTTGTCGAATAAAATTTTAGTTTTTTGCTTGCTCCGAGTATGACGTAAATTATAGTTGCAAAAACAAACAGAATCCAAATATGATTACGATAATGTTTTCATATCTGCGACAAATAGATGAAATAGTATATGTATGTCTGCAGAATTTCTGAAAAAAAAATTCTGGTATTGCTGAGCTGCATGGCATGATTGAGCTAAACGGAGGGTGAGGCAAACACAGGACAAAAACTTCGCAAGTGTGTATAACAGATAACTTTAAAAGAAAACGACTGCGATAAATATGACTTTGAATTAAGTTTCTTTGTGGACCAAAAACAGGTGTTAAAGGTGTTAAAAAAGCGGGCAATTTTCTGATTTTGATTTACGTTTTCCAGATTCACTCGAATCGGTAGGAATTTAATCAAGAAAATTTAAGAGCAAATTAATCTAAATTAGGTTGAAGGCAAATCATATCTGAAAATGCGTGGCCATTACTATATAATGAAATATATCGTTACGTTTAAATGAATACGCTTTTTGACCGAAGTGAGAATCTTATATGATAAAAAGTGAAAGTTAAATAACAACCCTGAATGCAAGCAATATTATAGATTCTTACTCCAGCTGCAGACTGCGCGAGGGTATTCTTAGCCACATAAGCTGCCTGATAACCAGCAGCATCCTGGTTATTCACTGCATCTTTGGCTGTGTTTGAAGATCCTTCAGCAATGCTTCTTAAACTGCTCCCAACACTGAGACCTTGCTTCTTTTTGCCTCCTGTTGAGGCAGCTTGGACACTACTTGAACTGCTACCACCTGCTCCAGTTTTTATGTCAGAATGGTACTCAATATCAAAATTCGACAGTACATTAACATCATCGTATGGTTGATTAGAATAGGCGGGCACAACTGAAAAAAACATTTTACAAATTTAATATAATAATCTTTGAAATCACAACATTTTTTCATTGCATGAAAAATAATAAAATGAGTTCTCAAATATCAGAGGTAAAACGAATTAATATACTAGCTCTGGTTAGCTCTGCTCTGGTATGTTTATGAAAGAGATAATTGTTTAAATCTATCATACATTGTCTTTTGCAATATTATAAAGATATGGCTATAGAACTATTGATATGTAAAAAAATAAGTTTTTCAAGTACAAGTGCTGGATTGGTAGAGAAATATTTTCGTGGCTCAAACACCTAGGTATCAATATTTCATGAAAATATTTCCACAGCTAATTTAACTGACCAGAAGAAGGTAAAAAATTCATATTACTTACGTGTACACGTTAATATAAGTATCAAAAAGAGTATCATCTTCCTTAGCTGAAAACGATAAAATCCTTTTAAGTAAATCAGCACAAGCTAGCACAAAACACACCACTTAATATACACCTACCAAGGAAACATATATCCTAAATGGCGCTTACTAAATTTATTGTGGACTAATCGGAATTATCCAATTTCTGATTTTATACCAGGATTGATCTAAGCCCATTCGGTTTTCAAGTGGGGATAAATCTGATAGTCTGTATGAAATAAGCAGAAATGACAAAAAGAGAGAAACCAAACGATTAATATTTTATTTGCAGGTTTTTAGGAAGTGCACGAAATGGAACAATTTAGGAATCGAATCGATTGAAACGATTTTTTAATGCCCGATAGTTGCTGTGCGGTTTTCATTCGAAAATTTCACTTCATGCTCGGTATTGGAACTAGTTTACTCATTAGATCATATGACAGTCACTGTTTTTTAAGCTAAACGGTTCATATAATTTGCTAATTTAACGCTCTATTTTTTTATAAATATTGACACATATTTATTTGGTAACTGAGATAATATTTAATTGATATAGTATGAATGCAACATTTTCTTTGAAGTATCCACCTAGGAATTCATTCAGTAGTTTTTCAATTGGCGGGCAAATTACTTTTGGATGTTGAAATTAGGACAACTATGGGTAAACGAACGAGTCAGAATTGGTTCCGGACCTTCGTACCGAAAATAAATAATATTTTAAATACATCTTTGCTAGATACCGGGTGTCCTAGCAAGTGATAATTAAGACAGTTTTAATTTTTTTTCCAAAATTAAGGAAATTTTTTTCGTGTTCTCCTGTTTAATACCCATTGGAAGTCCTCATCGCATATGCGAGAATTTCATAATTCTCAAACAAATTTGTCGGGTAAGCGGGATGCCAATGAAACTACCTATTTTACATATTACATTACATTTACATTATTTATAATATAAGAAAGACAAATCAAAGTTGATGACAACATCCAATCTATGAGATCAAGGGAACAGCTCGAGAGGCTGGAGAATGAATTAAAAGGGATAAATTGGGACGAACTCGGACTGAGTTCTCGAACTTGAGACTCGAAGCCAGACTTAAGGCAGAAGAAGCAACCACCCTACAAAATCAATACTCTTTCTTATACCAGAAAAATGCCGAGACAAAATCACATCTTGGCGCAGTAGTAATCATGGTAAATACCAGACGGAGGGACCAGATCGCCAAAATGAATGCTCTCTCAAATAGAGTTATTTTCGTCATACTGAAGATATCGAGAAAGCGCAAAGATGCCAGAATCCAGGGAAATGCCAGATTCCGAATCTTCACGGGAGACTTCAATGCCAAAACTCCGGCAAAAACGGGTTCGGTATTCCATTGGATAATATCGTTGCTCCTTGAATTTGCTTCGTATTTCTGCATCTTTTTACAGTATTTTCATCGCTTTTATTAACCCCACGTGGGCAGTCCCCTTCTGAAAGGTTTTGCTGGTGGTTGCTCGAAACTTACAGCTTTTCCGAAATATTTGCCAATAAATTCTTAAAATGAGTTATTTCTCAATTGAGAAAATTTCCAATTGTACCGAAAAAGTAGAAAACAGTACTAATTATTTAAATTACGTGTAAATTTTACAACGCGTGGACCTTAATATCGACAACAATTTTCGCTAAATTGACCCGAATATAGAAAATAAAAATATAATCAAAATATTGCGACTACGACTGAGAAACTTATCAACATCATGCTTTTGTTGTAAATGTACAAAATTGTTGCTTCTTCTTAACTGAAAATTAGTGTAAAATGTACACTCACATTGCGTTGAAATAAAAGTAAAGGCATGCAAAACCCTAAAGCATATTTAACGCTTATTTGCATTTTTCGCACGTTTACCTTGTTGCAAACTTCATCTTCACGATGTATTTATTGAAACTAAAACTATATTTTTAAGTACATTAACAGACGTGAAGTGTATTCTTCTTCCAGTTACAAAATTTAGTTTACTATAGAAAATCTAGAAACACTTCTTTGTACTTCTGACTCCCTAACAATTATTAAAAGCCGTTGTTATTATGTTGTTCCTAATTGACCCATTTTCGCCGGTACCTTCCGCTTCAAGCGTTTTTCAATAAAATGACAAAGACATAACTTCTCAGTAATTTTAGCGTTTCATCATACAACCGCTATTGTGATTATTGTGCTAATAATAATATTGCATAAATTAATTTCACTTATTTTTCAGCTTGTCCAAATATACCTGTAATACAGTTAAACTTTGCTAATTGCTTTGGCGTGACTAAACACTAAGCGGACCAAAATAATTTCATTAATCTTTTGAGTTGTCATTTACCGATTAACATGTTTACGGATGATTAAAGGACGATTGAATTGAATATTTGTTTTCGATGGTTTGCCTATACAGGGTTATTCCGATTATACGACACGGAAGATCGCGGCTAAAGTATAAGTTTATGGATAAATAAAGGACCGCCGGGGATATATTTTAGACGTTTTTTTTTTAAGTTTAAACACTCAATGCCCATTTTCAATTTCGAAAACCAATTGTACCTTGCGGCAAAATTTTATAATTTATCGACGCACCTATCGCAATTAACGATTTTCAGTTTTGTATGTGGCTTTTAGACAAAATTGCAGACAACTAAAACTTTTTTGATGTAGCTTTGTTTACTGATGAATGCACGTTTCACAATGATCGATTTGTCAATAGGCACAATTTCTATTATTAATCGGATTTAAACGCTGCACCAATTTAGAATCATCCAAAATCAGCACAAATGGCCAGTAAATGTGTGATGCGGAATAATAAAAAATCTTTTAATTTGCCTTTTCAATTCGTCAAGGCTCTAATGCCTGACAATTCCATTAGTCATTAGAGCAGCCATGTGGCTTCAAATGGATAGAGCCCAAACACAGTCTTAAATCTTTATTTTCAACAGTGTTGAATTTGGAGAAGCGGTTATCAAAACTGGCCTCCGCAATCAGCAGATTTGACTTCTCTGGATTTTTTTATGGGAATTTTGGAGGGAGTTCTCTACAACTCAACCCCAACAACGCCAGAAAATATCTGGATATAAGGAGAGAATCATAAAAAAAATAGAATTTAAAAAAAATTGCGTTTAAAAAATAGTGTATTTATGTGTGGAGTCAGATGGGAGTCATGTTATTATAAGTCAGGTATTTTCGTGATTATACTCGTACAGTGTGTTTACTTAAGCTCGCTTAATTATACAAAAAAATATCCTTCATAAAAAGTTCTGCTTGGTTCAAAACATAAAACAGGGCCACCAGATCTAATTTTTCTCAGTCGTCTACGAGGTATATCAGAAAATGTGCATTTTACCCAAGAACAAACTACGTTTATTTTTGACAACATCGAAAATTGTCATAAAGAAAAGTTGATTACAGTTAAAAAGTTTGTTCAGATAGGTATGTAGTTGCACCAATCTATGACGAACGGAGTTCTGTTATTTTTTAGTTGGTTTCATATGCGAACTTTTATTATATGCTCAAATCAAAATCATTTAATGAAACTTTAACATAATTAAATCGCAAATTCAACCGGTGGGGTATTATTACAAAACAAAAATGAATGAAATTATTCGAAATGTAGTCCATCCACTTAAAACCATTTTCGACATCATCTAACTAATAAATTGATTGCAGTTGATAGTTGATTGGGGTTTTGCCGCATAGCATCGCAGCCTTGCTAAATTCGTAAAACTGAATCATCTGTGGTTAAAACTGGAGTAGAATAAACTTTGGGATTTACATGTCCTCGAACGTAAAATTAATTTAAATTTTTTTACTTGTTGTGTTTTGTTACTTGTTTACTTTTTTACGTTGTGTTCCAGAGAAACATTGAATTTTATCCTATTAAATGGCAGTGGCGTATATTTTTTTATTAGTACGGACGGCATTAATAAAAGAAAAATTTCGTTTCATTTAAAAATTATGCGTTATCGTTGGCAGTTACCGCCTGAAAAAATTCGTTTAAGGTCCAGAGCCGTTTGGCAACGATTAATATATTTTTTTGTGAAGCCAAACTTTTCAAAAAAAGTTTCTCGAATATAGTTTATAAGGCACTCATAGTTTTTTTTATTCTCTGTTGTTCTCTCAAGTGTCCGCTCTGGAAACTGGCCCACCTTGTTCAGAGCGCTTCAAATTATAGAGATATTTCTGACAAAAAAAGATCTAAACTTAGACATTTATTATCTAGATTTCTTTGAGGACTTAAAATCGGCGCTTCTAATCTCTGGCATGGTAGTTATTAAGCATGAACTATTAAAATTCTTACTTGACAGAACACGTAAAATGCAAGAATTACATACTGGATTACATGCACACCATAATTGTACTGATTTTAATTTAGAAAAAAAGACTCGGCGAGTAAAACCCAAAACCACAAAACTGTAGATAACCGCTTATTTTATATGTAATTGCACTAGTATTCAGAATTTCCGGGTTTATTGGTCGGGGTCATTTTGCACCAACATTCCGATATCTAGATCAGATTTATACTTCAGTAACCTACAAGCATGGAAATGATGAGCTTCCCATAGTCGCAAATATCTCGTTTATTAGAAAAATTATAAGAAGTACGATAGAAAAATTAGTTTTGCTTCTTCTTGGGCTGAAACAGTTCTGTGGCTTCAATTTTCAACTTCATTTTTTACCCTCTCTCAATAGGATACAAAAACTCGACTACAAGACAGATGAACCTCAATCATCCTAGACAATATGAAATGTATCAATTTACCTCCCAAAAAAGTTCCTCTAAAATTGTTTTTCCTTGTTAAAATATCTGATTAATTATTAGCATTTTATTTGGTATCACCTGTTACATACAGGCGATTTGAAATGTTCAAGCAAAGTATATTTGGGATTAATCGAAACAGTCATAAATAATTAGAGCACATTTAATTATCTCAAAGTAATTCAAACTTTTTCTGTTCATTACACGGTCAAAATAATTCAATGTCAAAACATGCGCTCATTGAGCGTGAATAAATTTGTTCCTGTATGTAATACCTTAAACAAATGTATGAAGAAATGGGAAATCAAAATGTAACGATTTAGAGTTGCGATTCTTGGTCAGATTGTTGTTAAGTAGGTAATATTAGCAACATGAATGAGTCCTTTGACCGACTAGACTTTGTTGTGGGAAAATTAATAGACTATAACATCATTAGATTTCCGTCTTAACACCTAGATTACACGAGGTTATTATAATTGCAAATTTCAATTGTTATTCCCATTGCAACTGTCATGAAGAACTACTAGCATGAGCATTACACACACATACGCCACTGAAGAAGAATGCCTATGGTAAAATTTCTATAAGTTCCAATGATCGTACATTATACGGATGAAGGCGACCGAGACGAAGGCAAGCAAAGTTGAAAAACTGGAATCTGCATAATTAGTCATTAATTAAAACTTACTTAAACAGCAATATTTTTAATATGAGCCAACGTGAAAGAGCGTTCATTTCCTAGTTGATATTCGTCGAGTAACGTTGCAAAACCTCAGGAAATTCCGTCGGAGACAATTTTAGTGTAGCAAATGAGGAATTTTGTTGAAAAATTGTGAATAATATGTTCTTGCGTTGATAACGTGCCGAGTAAAACGATTATGAAGACTGACGTGTTGCTGATTTTGGAGCTATTCATTATATTGTGCACTTTGGGATTAAGAGCCATTTGCCAAGAAGGTACTTACTTACTTACTTAAGCTATTACGTCAATATTCTTCTAACAACAGCTGATTATATTGCATTGTGAGATGTAGCAGTGAGCTATGTTTTAGACCACATTTAAATTTGCATTGATCTTATAATATATGGAGATAATTTTTGAGGATCGGGGATGTTTGAGGATCGGGAATGAAAACAATAAACTTTGGGACATTGAAGTAAACCAGAGCAGTAGTTAGTTAGATATGTAAATTATGTAGGACTGTTTATACAGTGAGAATCAAAAAATCCTAATAAAGTTTCCCACGTTTAATATAATCTACTTGAGTTATTTTCATTTTTCTGCAAATCATCTAATCCTATACATTTTTGAGGGGATTTTCATAACAACATTTATTATAAATGGTAACAATTTCAAACTAGCAGGATATTAAATATAAAGTACGATGAGTGCAGCTTGCTGGCCAACAATAATTTTTGCCGGATAATGATAAATCCACGTAGGTACCCTTACGACATTTACATTATTTTTGCAAGACTGCATTTAAAATAATTAGGAATAGACAGTCGTTACTTCTAAAACTGAAACTGGATTAAACTGACAATAATAAACATCGGTAACTATTTACTATTCAGAAATTGATACTGTAATTGTGCAAACAGCTGGATTTGAAGAAGCTGATGTGAAGAAAGTTATACTTGTTAGCACGTGCCTCCTGATGGCAGGATGGCGAGAAGCAGAGGTCAACCTGTAGCTTAAACAGGTCTAGGTTAATACCACTAATGAGGGAAAGCTAAACTTTCGAAAAAACTACGTTCAGGAAAGTTTACGTTTAAGCATGCCAGATTCGGTTAACATGCTTCTATGCATATTAACCGTAAATATTCGCCCTATCTTTTGAAAATTTTCCTAAATTTTTGAACAACAGCACCTGTTTGATTAAGATTTTATATTTTGATTATCTACTACGCGGAACTAGAATGACGATGGCCCTGGTCAAACAATCGAAAGCGCTCGGCCTTAAATTTAGAATCGCTTAAATTTGACCTTTTGCAACATGTTCACTGGAATGCAAAACTAAATTTACGTTAGTGATACTTATATGTTCTTAGTAAATAGTTTACAACTTTCATTATTCACACGTTAATATATCAGATGCATAATTACAGGATGGCCCGTCTAATTCGAAACCTTATCTCACAAGCAAAATTGCATGTATTTCCATTATAGCTTTTAATGACATATGCAGTTATTAATGGCTCAAATTTAAGAATGATTTTGAACTATAAGAGAAGGCAAAAAAGTTACTAATCAGAATCATGTTTCTGTTAATAGGACTATCTATGTATGTGTATGACTACATTATTAAGCTTTCTAAGAAAAATGAAGCTACAAGGACTAAGATATGTTTGTTTTGTAAGCCAAGAATTTTAATTTTTTTTCTTTTTTTATAGCTGATTAATTTATACGAGTGTTAGGAATAGGAATCAATTTTAGAATAAGCTAGGCTAAGACACATATGTACTAAACAAGGGCAGAAAGACCGATTGGGTCGATAGCCTTTTTCTGTAGGAAATAAAGATTATATATATACATATATATGAAGCTACAGTTCAGTGAGGGGATCTGGGAACCGTTTTTGATATACTTAATCTGAAAAAATGTGAAACAGTAGGACAACATCAAAAAAGTTTTATAACGAACTATCATCGATAACACTACATACACCGACTTAAACAATAATAATTATAACGACATACACAATTAGGTAAATCGTGAAACGACGAAACTAATGAATTAAGTGCTCAAAATGTCTCCTTTTGCGATCAAGGCATGAAGATATTAATTTCTCTAAATTATGTTTAACTAGACGAAGGTAGACGATTTATAGTCCAATGTCACGCAGTGCACTTTTGATTTTTTCTTGTGTGCTTTCGTGAGTAATAGGAGGAGCGATATGAACTGTAATGAGAATCATTCAATTCAATACCGCTATAGAATAAATGTTCATTTTGACAACTTTTTACTAATTAATTGACAGCTAAGTGTACTGGAATATCAATATTGCTCCAAGTTTGATGTCCCTGTGGGGCCTTAAAATTAATTTTAAACTGTTGGCCTCTTAAAACTCTATATGTGAGGAAAATAAATATTAGAAATTCATTGATTTCCTGGATTTCCCACTGATAACATGGGCCAGACCGTACATGCATATCTAAATCAAGATCTTTTCTGCCTGTTTGTTTTATGCCAATATTGCACTTAAAATATTATAGAAGGCAAAAAAGCCATTTTCATCAAAAATATGCTTTATTTTATCAGTAAAACTGATTGCAAACTCTGAACATTCAGTAGAACTCAAATACAATGTATCATTTACCTTTCATATAGTTCTTAACCTGATTATTCATTTGCTTTTAAAATTTGTGCATGTTGTTCATTAAAGACCAAAGCAAATCAATATTAAGGCATAATCATATTTTATTATCACTCGCTATTACTAATATCCTTTTCTCCCAAAAAATAGTAGCTTATGAAGAAATACTTAAGTAATTTATTTTCGCAAATGAGAGCCACTAGAATAAACTGTAGGCTTTTTACTTTGAATTCTACAGTTCTTCAATGTAGGTATTGTAATCACCTTATTATGTAATTTCGATAGAAATTATATTTAGGCGTTTTTCGTGTCTTCAGAAATCACTAAAGTCGGTGTGTTTTACATAGTGAACGGGATTCGAAAAAACGATATTATCTTTTTCCAAATAAACTTAATTTTCCGTGTTATAATCGGCTTAAAAAATCTAGATGCATACTTCGCGGTCGCAGCGGCTCTAGAAGCATATTGATAAAATCGCATATACAACATTTTTATTTTTGATAAATTTGATTTAATCATTATACAATTCAATTATACAACTACAATTTCTGTGGGTTCAGTACAGTTAGTAGCGAACTTTTATTAAGAACGAATTTTTATCTCTGCTCTTGCTGGTCTTCACAAAAGTTATATTTTTTCAAGTTTATGTCGAAGAACTGTTACGGCAAATGCTAATGAAACTTGCTGATTTGTTCACTTGCGACTAGTCCAAAGCAGATGGACGCAGTTGCTTTACCAAAACCTGAGTCTCAGTTAGGAACACAACTGCTTCAATTTTGATTAAACTCCTATAATAAATACTGTTTCTATTATTCCGACCTTACAAGAAAAATAATTTTTGAAGAACTTCGAATATCAAAGGCAAAGGAGCCTGACATGAGAAAAAAGTAAAATGTAATGTAAAAAGTAATGTCAGGACGTTATTTTTGAGCCAAAGAATGTCTGACACTTTTATTTCCCAATTTCATTCTCCTAGTGTTAACACTATTTTTAAATTTTTTTAAAACCCAAGAATGTTTATCCCTATTAGAAGAACATTAACTACACGTAAACAAGGCTTAGTTCACTTACCTTTAGTAATCATATATTGTTTAAAAGTAGCTCGGTTTATGAGCCAATAGCCTACATCTTCCTTTCAGGCTACAGCAATCCAATTTAAAAGAAAGGTTAATGTTTTATGATTTATTGTTTCGTTCTTTGAATTTTGTTGAAGCAATTTTTAAATAAACTAAATCTTCCTAATGTAGCAATAAATATTTAGATTGTCTTTCGGATCAAACCCAAATTGGGTGTTCCCATTGCCATTTCCAGTACCTACACATTGCCAGAAAATGTGTACTGAAAATGTGAAATAGACATTTCTTTCAAAACGTTTTCGGGGGGAAAGTTTCAGTCGCAATTTTTACCATGCCAGTTGATTGTGTACAGTAAGTTTTTACTCTACAACTGACTGTTTGCCTAGTTGCTTATTAATGCTTCAATATTTTGTTGATCAGTTCTTTCAGAAATTATTACTATTCAAATTTAGAAATGTTCTAACGCATAATTATTTATTTAACCACTTCTCCGCGCCGTTGCTCCTGCATATTCATTGTCCTCTTTCCGCATTATTTTTATCATTTTAACCAATTCGCAAATCAAATTTAATAAAATTCCTTGCGCGCCAAACATTGGTTGATAATGCTGCGGCTTGGGTTCACTTCCTGTGTGCAAAATAGATTGCGATTATAATAATCAAATATAATTTATTATTTAATTATTTAAAGGAACTGAAATTAAAGGTCAATATTGTATTCGTGTTGGAATTAAGAGCGAATGTTCAAAATGATCTAACATTTTCTGTTAACTGTGCTTGTCACTATAATTTACAATAGTTTTACAATAGATTATTTTCATGGAATTACAAACAGGTATAATAAAATTAATTGGTCATATGTCGAAAAATATGCCAGCATCAAAAAATCCAGAAACACATCTTCTTGGTCATGGGGAAGCATCCGATACTGGGCATAAAAACGATTTCTTTTTAAAATAACACTTGCGACTTGCGACTATTATCGAAAATAATTTTTATTTATTAAGTTTGTTATCAATATCAAATATATATCATATTGTATCGAAGTTTTTCAAATTCCAACCCCAATAGTTGTGTAGAGAATAACTGATAAATCTTGGGAGAAATCTTGCATAATGACTTTGATTTAGAAAATTAAATTTGCTTAATATGAATGGAGTACTCCGGAGTTATCAACTTCGTCAACGTTTAATTTGCTGCCTCACAAAATACTCAAATAGCAAAGGGGAGGAATACTATGGTAGCAAACCAAGGCCAGAGTCTTTTGAAGAAAAAACCAAAACGTCACACTTCAACTCTAAAAGACTCAATTATAAGGTCTGTGAAAATATCAAACTTACAAATCATCCGGTAGAGGAAATGCGGGTAACCGCCAGCATAAATTTAATTAGAAAAATAGTGACACAATATGAAAACAAATTACAATATCAGAAATGGCGTTTATTTGCAAGTAAAAAACGTCTGTCGGAGCTTTTTCAAGATTATCACTGTTTTGCTGCAAATTTCACTTTGTCTCTTTTACTTCGGGTTCCGCGAAAAATGAATTGAAAGCGTTTCATAATGATAAATTGTGATCTTGTTCCCCGAATAGAACTTCTCATATACTGTGGTAGAAGTAAAGTTTTTGTTGGTAAAATGTTTTAATAAAAAACAAACCAAAGAGAGTACGAGATGTTTTTCAGAAGTTAAAGATTTGTGAAGCTGAATTAACACTTTTTACATTATTAGATAACTTTGTGAGCAATAAAACCAATGTGAAGTGTATAGAATTTAAATGCTAATATTAGGAACGTAATCTGTACAAAACATTCATTTTTAGCTTAGCTTGCACTTTGGTTTACCGATAAATTAAATCGAAGTATGGTTTTCAAATGTCTGAAATGCAGTGGTTAATCTACCGATTTGATTTCGTCCAAATAATTCCCGTATATTAATGTCTGGCAATCGAGTGGCCACGTTATAGACTTTCACTCCCATAATCGGCTAGCTAAAAATTAGTTAAAAAATAAAATTTATTAATTGAAAATTTATGATTTAAAAAGAGTTTGTTTAGACTAACATCTGAGGGCACGCACATTTCTCTGAAATTGCGCTCTTTTCCAAATTGGCATAAACAAATGTCATGTGGAAAAATCAAAGCATTTAAATATTCAATTCATTAAATTTAATTTGATAGTCAATTTTTGAGATTTTCCTTCTGCTATTAATGTTTTTTTCTCGCTGAATAAGCCGGCACTGAACTTTAATCTTATTATAACAGTTTCTGGGTAGAAACTGTTATAATAGTTTTTTCAAGACAGTTTTCAGTTTATTGTTAAGTTTTACACAAGAGCTGGTTCTATCAAAGATATAATAATATAATATGGTGGTGTAACGGGAGTAGTCTGTTGATTGCATTTTTCGTCTCCCATCTTTGGGACACGAAATTGTTTTATTACTGGAAAATTAATTCCGACTTAAAATCGTTTTTTTGGCAATTTGAACCTATTTAGACGACACGGAATAACCGCACGAATTAAAAAACAATTGATGATAGACCGACCATATACATATTAAATTCCAATTCATGTAAATAGTGAAAAATTCTGACCTAGTTGGGATTTTTGTCCACGCACGCACATAAAAATTAAATTAGAAGTTTAAGTAGCTAAAGCATTTCCCGTCGATTTTGGGTATTATTTCTGGTCAATAAACTAAGAAAATAGATGTAATAAAGAAGAGTCAAGTATTTTCCTGATACAAGCGTGGAAGACGTTTAGAAAGACGCTAGTATTTTTTATTTCAGCTAGATACTTCAACTCGTCAATTGGGCTCTTCGCCAATCTTGCTTAAAATTTGAGTTTAAATTTTTGTCATTTAATTCAAACGGATAGAGAAGGGCGGCAATAAAACAAGTGCCATTTTCAAGTTATCCTGTTTCTTTAAGACGGCCTTAAACGTTGCAGAATTTTCTGTATTGTACTACTCTTTTCCATCCATTTCCGCAAGGAAAACCGTAGGTACCTATGAAAGCAACAAAGCACTTGATCTGATATTGACAACATAATATTGCAGATTGCGTCTTATGTTAGGCGCTAATGGCAATAGAGGTATTTCTTTTTATAACATATACGCCTGTATTATGGTTATACGGAATTATCGCAAGTTCTGCCATTCTCATGGAACTGTGAGATTAAAACCTAAGCAATATGCAGTTTAACAAGTCATGAAATCCAGATTTATATACTTGAAAGTATTTATTTGCATTGCGGCTTCTGCAAATGCACCATTTGAAATGCTGCATTATCTTTTGCAACGTAACTTTTACCTTTGCTTGTTTTAGCAAAAAGTTTTAGCGAAAACCTTAGCTAACTGAAACCCTCTTCATTTGCAGTTGGGGAACAATGCACGATAAAAAGTACTGGTGAATCAGGAACATGCAAAGTATATTCAGATTGTCCAGGTATCGAAGAGCAAGGGCGACTTAACATTGCTATAACTCTCTGTGGATTTTACCAGCTTATTGTACCTGTAGTGTGTTGTAAAAGTGAGTAGTAATTTCTATTAGTCTCTATTAGAGTTAACTCAAATATTGCATATTTAATACGACGCTGCTGCATGGAAAAACGACAAATATTACTTGAAGAATTTTGTACAATTTGTGTTGGTAAGTCGATGCGCCCCTTAATAATTCTCAAGTCTACACGCACTTAGATTTAATTAAACTAAGATATTTTATTAGTGTTGTGAAAGTTCCTTTGAATATTGAATTGAAATTTCAGATGTTATGAGAGTATATGTATACAATAACAGAAGTTTCGTGATAAAAAGTTTGTTTACAGTTTCAGCATTGATGTGGCTTCCTGCAAAGAAGTCAATTAAATAAAAAAACATACATATTCAACAGTAAGAACTAGATTAACACATTTTAATTAATAGATAAAGTAATTTAATTTAAAAGCAAATATAAGAAGATTTTCAAGACTAATGTTAACTCTAGCACATAATTATTCCCATTTTTTTCAGAACCGTTGGGAAGAAAATGAGCTATAATTGAATGAACCAATTTCGAGTAGTATGGTATTAATGCTAATTTATTTTAATTTAAACATTGAAAATACACCTACATTGAGATAAATAATGGAATGAACATTGTTTAGTAGAGCAATATTCTGAGAAACTAGGTTGATAGTTGTATCCTTCACTTTTACAGCAATATACAAGAAGCTCTATTAAAATATGTGCTAGTTTTGTTACAAGTCAGCTAAATTGACAAAATATGTGATTTGCAAGTGTATTCCCGAATTTTAACTGGTTGTCATATGAGATATTAAGCGCGTTTCGATTTTATTTAACCCTGTTTAAAAAAAGTACAAAAATAATTTTTATTAATTGCCAGATAAAATTGACACATCTGGTCCCAACGATTTAACAATTGGAGAAATTGGAGATATTACATTTCCTACTGACGATACTGAGGCACCTCTTACATTCCGTGGGGGTCCCAGAAAGAGTGAGCTAAGTAAGTGTGATAGAAACTGAATTAATGATAATAAAGTGATTTTATGATAATTTTGTAGAATGCTTTGAATATACGAGGGCTGTGACGGATGTTGTTCATGCAATTCCTCTGGTAGCTAATATAGAACCAATCAGCATAAATGTGACGAGATGCGAATACAATAGCGTTGCTCTAATTGTCGGAGGCACCCCAGCAGCCGCTGGAGAATTTCCGTTTATGGTTAGTCTTATTCTCCATAATCGACTCTTAAACCGCCTTAATAATTTGCTTTCATCCATAGCAGAATGAGACAAACTAATTGACTTCAATGTGTGTTCAGGTGTAGCATTAACTATTTCACAAGTTGTAAGTCAATAATGTGATCATGACTATGATAGTTCAAGAAATGCAAATTTTTCTTAATATTAATGCAGCTGGATAAAATGCTTCTTATATGTCTATAATTATTTATTTTGTTTCATTGGTTTGGTAATTAATTTTCCTGTTGGCTTGGAAACTTCAATTAATCAAAGCATCTCGCAGGTTTATTTAAAACACATTGTGAGATGTTGTGGTGTATCTAGCGACTACAAAGATAACAATATAAAATTTTGAATACATTATAAAATAAATGTTCTATTAATTAGTTAATTGGTTAACGTTATCGAATTGTTGTGTTGAAATTAAGTAATGTTTTTAAAAATGAACAAATTTGCACTAATGTTACCAGTTACACTAAGAGAACAAATTTAGTATATATGCTGTGTGTTTTAAGTTCTAAAAGATAAATTTCTTATCATACATTATATTCGTATAATATTTAAAAATACAGCACAAATTATTATCTCTAAATACAATAAAAATTAAAATCTTATTTTCTGATGGAAATATAACTAAGATTCAAAAATTGTAAATATAAAATAGATTTTGAACATATGCTTGAAGAGAAATACGTTTTTCTAAGAAACAAATATTATTGAATTATTAGTGGCTCTCCTTACCTATAAATAAAGCAGGTTAATTTTTTTTGCAAGAAAACTTAGAGAGAAAACCAGATATTAACTTCTTATTCGAAGCAGATTGATGTTGCATTCCTTCTTGGCAAAATAATTGGATGTTTCTAAGTAAAAAAAACCTCATTATGGTAAGAACTTCTGCTACTGGATCATAGAAAATTTCACCACATTTAGAAATAGGTTACATTTGTGCTGGGATGCTTCGGATATTTATGCACTTTTTTTTCAATTAAGAAGAACATTTTTTTAAGGTGTAGAAGCTCTTTTCATATCTCAGAAAATTTTTTAAGGCACCCCGGAAAAGTAGTTAAGAAAATAGCTCTCGAGCATTGTGAGGTAATTTTCAAAAATAAAATTGCAAACTCAACTAGTTTTTTTTTATTATTTGGACTAGAAAAATGAATTATTAACTTTCTCTGAAAACTTCTAGTTAACCCCAGAAAAAAATATTTTTAGAAAAATTAACCAAACTATCAACAAGAGGAATACTTATTGGTTTTATAAAATAATAATTAATTCCTTGAAGTTGTTTGCATTTGCTCATGTTCACTTTTTCTTTATTCATTTTATACATTCGGTCATTTTT